AGCGAGGTAGGATGGATGGATATAAGAACTAAATGGCTTAAATCCTTTGCCGATTGACTAAATAACGTACATTTGAAGGGGGAGGGGAACGGTGAAGAACGGAAAGGGTGAGGGACTGTGCTCCTGGGATTTCCCTTTTTATGAAACTGATGCTTAGGAAAAGCTGTTCCACGGAAATCAGTCACTAGGCTTCTTTTGTTTATGAAGTTGATGCTTAGGTAAAGCTGTTCAACAAAAGTCGTCATTAGGCTTCTTATAAAATTGATGCTTAGGTAAAGCTTTTCCATAAAAACCCGCCATCAGACTTTCCTATTTATGAAACTGATGCTTAGGTAAAACTGAGAGCGAATAAGTTTCATGATGTATGCAGAAATAAGTTTCATGATGTGTAGAATGGATGCCTGAGAATGAAGTCAACCTTTGCTGCTGTGAGATTTTGAATACAGATAAATAGCAACGCGCACCAGACTAGCCGGTGCAGTAATGCATTTTGTGCAATCCAGCCCATCGAAAGGTTGCCTACTAATGATTTTCACTGTTGTGTACTTTTGTCTATGCAAAAATAGTTCAAACATTGGAAAATAGTTAAAAATTTCACGCACCAGCGTATAAAGTTGAATATGAAACCTTGAAGGATAATATCTTTCCGTGATTCCCGAATTAATAGTTTATCCGCCAAAATTTTCACGAGCCTCGAAGGGTGAATATCTTTCCGCGATTCCCGAGTTTACCCGCAAAACTCTCACGAGGCCGCAGGTGATACTCAAAAGTGAGGAAACGCTGAATTTGAATAGGCAAGGTTGAGCGTGGGCAGGGGGGTTATTACCCTAAAATTTCAGCTTCCTAGACGGTGTGGATCCCGAGATAATAATTTACTCGTAAAAACCTTCACTAGCCCGTAGGTGATACCCGAGAGCGCGGGAATGCTGAATTTGAATGGGCAAGGTTGAGCATGGGCAGGGGGTAATTACCCTAAAATTTCAGCCTCCAAGACTCCGTGGTTCCTGAGATATCAACTTACTCGTAAACAATTTCACGCAGCCGTGCGTGTTATCCGCGGGTACGGGAAGGCTGAATTTAAATTTGCCACGTCACCTGCTGGCGGGGAACATTATACCAAAATTTCAGCCGCCTAGCTTTTGTGGTTCCCGAGTTGAAAGTGC